AAGGGTTGGGGCAGTCAGGGGACAAGAGGCAGGGAGGCTTAGATAGGGAGTGGAGTCCTGGGGGGCAGTTAGGGGCAGGGGTCCCAGGAGGGGGCAGTCAGGGAACAAGGAACGGGGGGAGGGTTGGGGGTTCTGGGGGGGCGGGAAGTGGGAGGGTCAGGGGCGGGGCTAGGGCGGGGCTCCTCCCGTCCTCTTTTTTGCTTGCTGAAATATGGTAACCCTACCTTAGGAGAATTTATTTCCATGATGTGGGGAGAAAAAAAGCAGTGCAATACTGCCAGCAAACATGAGAGGCCAGGAAAGTGTTTATTAGGATCCTCATAAAAGTTGCTAGCTGTGAATTTACAGCACTGCAGGAACAAAATGGCCTGGATTGCAGTATCTCACATTTCAAATATATATCATGGGAACATATTTAAGCTCCCTTTGTTTGACGTTCAGCAGTACATTACACCTTGTTTTATTTTGAAACTTTCATTGGTGCCAGGTCAAAGTATAAATTCCAGATGTAATTATGCAACATATTACCAAAGAGAGAGAGCACATAGAAGACTTAACTGTTCCACTCTATTAAACTTTTTGATCCTGTGAGCTTTGGTTCAGCTCTTGGAAACAGGTCCTTGTTTCACAGAAGAGCAATCATGACAGTTTTTCCTGACAGGGGATAAAATAGTTTATTCATGAAATTTCAGTTGCCCTGAAAGAAGAAACAGCAACTTGAGTAACTGATTAGCAGCATCAGCATCCTTCATTTGAATAATATGATGATTTGACTATTGGTTGTACCTCAGATATGTCCCTTTGGATGCCAATCATAAAAATAGTGCATGGCCCAAAATATATCAGGAGAATCAACTCAACCACTCTTTAAGAATGGTGTTCACCAAAGGAAAGGCTGCATTTGGAGGGAGAAAATGAGAGACAGCAGTTCCCCTGTGGTGCTCAGACAGTGTGGATGATTTTCCTCTACAAGAGGGATTGGCAGCCTTTGGCATGCGGCCCGTCAGGGTAAGCCCCTGGCAGCTGGGATGGTTTGTTTACCTGCAGCGTCCTCAGGTTTGGCCAATCACGGCACCCACTGGCCTGGAACGGCGAACCGCGGCCAGTGGGAGCCGCGATTGGCCGAACCTGAGGATGCTGCAGGTAAACAAACTGTCTCGGCCCGCCAGGGGCTCACCCTAACGGGATGCATGCCAAAGGTTGCCGATCCCTGCTCTACGCCTTAATCAATCTTCTCAATGATGTTTTTAAAATTGGCAGTCATTAAGTCCCCTGCTCTTGAATCAGCCTTTCTACTACAAATACAAAGGCCAAGATTTCTCTAGAAGAAGATATCAAACTGGTGTCAATATTTGTGCACTTATCGGGCAGAGTAAGGAAACAGATTGGAGTCCCCAAGAAGTAGTGATGCTTCAGTCAGGGTGAAACTGTAACTTAGATTCACCATCCCTGGAGGCCCTATGGGAAATGAAATACTCATACTTGTTATTGAAGAGACTGAATGAATGAATGTGTAAAATTTGACAAAGGGCTTCATTGTTTGATTTTAGATGTATTATAACAAAGGCCTATTGATATAAAGTAATACTTTCCTTGATGTTTGCATTGCACATAAATTGACAGGTGATTCATAGGGAATAGCTCTATAAGGTCTTAGAAGAAACAAGGCAAAATAAATTTATTCCTGTTATCTTTAAAACAATATTCAAATAGTGGTTGCATTAAAATAAAAATTTGATAGTAATTTAACTCTCAGATTTTGTTAGTGAGGAGATGGATCAGACAGCTTAAAAGTTTTTAGAGAGGCAGGTGTATACAGTATAAGCAATTTTTCTAATTTTTATTTCTATTTTATTGACACTGGCAATATAAAATATAGAATTTTACAAATACTATATGCTTACTGTGAATGGTAAGTTTTATATTGCGAACAGAGTTTTTTGCATTTAAAAAAAATATATTAACTGAAATCCACATGCTATTGCAGATTTTCTCCTTTAGATGTCCGGTTTCCATTCATATTTTTTGAACAAAGAATAGGAATGCATTATAGTTAATCCTTTTTTATTGAAGAAAGGTTTCTTCAGTTATAATTCATTTAGGATTTCTGTCTTCATGGATACATCACCTATCCTGTATAATGTTATAAATGCACCAGATCAATGAATGATACGTGAAAGGTTTGCCCATAGTAGAAGGTCAAGAAAAAGTAATTTTCTTCTAGCAGTTGAGATAAACATTGAGAGGTGAAGTACTATTTGAAGTATTTTGTGTCGCGTTTAAAGTTACACAGTATGATATAATAATCAATATCAGACCATGATGACAATAATTTCATTATTTATACCTCAGTGCTTATGAGCTTTACTATTCATCTCCCCTTGGCTGTTATGTGGGTTGTCAACCCCAGTTGCTGTAGAGGGTATTTTCTTTGTGTAAGCAGTTTTTATTTCAATATAAGATTATAATGCTCATAGCAATTCTTAAATTAAAAGGGATGGAAAAATATATCATACATCTTTCCCAACTGATAAGGCTCAATGGAGAAATAAATAGGTTGCAAATTTTGCTGTAAGCAAAAAGCATCTCACAGGTGTCTTGATTTTTACCTATGAGAGAGAGCCAATATTAAGCATTCATTGAGTCTGAGAAACCTTGAATCCCTCAAGTATGCTGTGAGATTTGATATATATGCTAATTATGGAATAAATTATGAAAAGGGTCATTGAAGTAGAGAACACCAATCAGCTTCAAAAAGAATCACAGGGTTTTATGAAGTGCCATTAGGGAAATGCAGTGAAGATTTTGAAAAGTGTTCAGATGCACTGAGAGATCTGAGGAATTTTGCAAAAAAGTTCCATTGTGTTCTCCAGAAAGAGATCTTCAGAAACTGACTAAAAATTCCCAAAACTGCTCAGTGGTCAACACCATTAGGCATGCTTGGAAATGCACATATTGTATACTTGAAATTGAAATGAGATATTTCAATGATGGTGTGACGCCATTTGGGCAAACCTCAGGAAGTTATCTTGCGTCCTAAATTGCTATAAATTATTCTGGCATTGATTTGTGAGAACATAGTAATATGGCTTGATGTAACATCGAATGGGAAATGATGTGAGAGCAAGAAATTTGACTGGATTTTATTCACTTGATTATAATGATACAGTGAAAAACTTCCAGCAAATCTTGCACTAAGAATTACTGCCAACAGCCAATTTCTTGTCTTAAATGACCACTTTATGGTATCCCAATGCTTCCATTACAATTTTGTTTAACCTCCTAGTTAAAGATTCCATGTCTACAAGACAACTGATTTTTGCTGGTCCTTTGGGTTATCAAGTTTATGTGGATCATGGTAGGTAAGATGGTGAATGCAATTTCTACATGTCCATAACTGTGTCAAACAAAGTCCTCTAATCCTGGAATTCATCATGCCTCACCTCATGTAGAAGTGTTTTGTTTTGTTTTGTTTTAAATCATCAACATCTGGTCTGTCATTTCTGAGTAAGAGCAAACAAAGAAAAAACAAACCATTCTTTTAATGCTATGTCCCTCAGACATTCTGATGTGTTCAGAATATAAAAATAGATTAACCAATTTTATTCCATCTGTCCTTGATTTGTAATTGTTACTGAGATCTAAGGGTCTGGCCAACAAATACGGTCAATGGAGCTCTCTGTGGACTCTGCATGCATAGAGTCAATTGCAGGATCAGGACTTTGAAAATCTTGGCCAGAGAAGGTTAAAATAGTAATAGTAATGGATTGTCTAGACTTAGCCAGAGGGAATGCCTTAATAAAAGCCACTGGTGAGTGTGTGTGACAGGTCCTGCTGTGTGCCAGTATACAGAGGATAATGTACAAAGCCTTTGCCCTTTAGCTCGGGAAGCTCATGCTTTCTGCTCTTAAGGTCCCTAGGTCCCTCGTGTGTCAGCCAAGATGGCAGCTGTCACCTAAGAAATGTTTTTGGTTTTTTTCTTGAGAAATAAGGCATAAGATGAGCCCGGCAAAATCACACTTATTTATTGCTTGAAGTGAGATTTGAACCCAGGTCAGCAAAGTTTCCTGGATGTGACACCTAGCATGTTTATTGCACAGTTATGCAGGTCATATAATCTATGGTATTATTTTACATAACCTCATGATGCCAGCCAAAAGATTATTAAATAGACAAAACATTTAAACCTTGCTGCCCTAAATTAGATTAAACTTTTCATGACAAGTTTATTGTAAAATCAATTACTACGATTTCAGTTATCCTAACACTCATCAGTTTTATGGGAATATAGGAAACAATTATATGAGAGAAAAAATACTAGGCAGGCTACCTTAGGGCATGATTTTATGGGATAGTTTAAGCAGAAGGTTATATTTCAATAAACCTGACAGTTGTGCCTAATGAGTTGCCATGGCAACAATAGAAGTATATACTCTGCACTGTAACTGTAAATTTTACGCATTTATTCTGAATTTACTTTTTAAAAAATGAATTCAAATAGTGTGTAAATTATGTCACCATGCTCTAAACTGTATTAGATGAATCAAACCATTTTATATCCACAATTCAAAAAACATATAAAAAGTGATATCCCTTACAGTTAGCATGAATTACTAATTGTGATGTAGGCAGTCAGATACAGATACAGACAGTTTGAACCTTGAGATTTTTATGAACTGTATACTTGATTAAGGTCACATATGGGGCAGTATTCATAGGGAACCACGAATCCTTAAAATCAAGAGTGTAGTGATTCTGTTGTAGAATCAAACATCACCCCAAGAAATGCTGGGGTATTTAGTCGGTCATTTGTAGACCTCACGATTTGTCCCTTACTAAGTCCTGGTAGTGAGGAGGGCTCTTCACCTGGTTGCTGGGTGACTGGGGGATTCCAGCTGCTCTTTTTGCACACATCCCTAGTCAGTGGAACAGAAGGCTGTCACACTGTTGTCTTCTTGTTCCATCTCCCCCCTATTGCCTGAGATGCAGAGGAAGAGGCGCACTGATCAGTCACTGAGTCCATGTTGATGGGCTGTTCAGGGAAAAACAGACAGTGTTTCACACAACTATTAAAGAGGTAAAAACTAAATACCTCTATGACATTGTTTTGTTGTTCTGTCAATGAAGAGAAAAAATTGCTTTGGGCCAAAGTATAACTAGCCATTATGCAGATGTGGGAATAGAAGAAATGTGTAAGGAGCCTTTTCTTCTTGCTTTGCATAGCATGTATAAGAGCAGCTTACATTTGCAGTCCCAGCACTTTCAGGAGCACATGGATTGCACCCTTATTGTGCCCCTGAGGCAAGTATTAGCTCTGATGGGATAGAGAGTGATGGGAAGTATTCAGACTTGTCCCCTTCTTTGCCCAGCCTCTCTTTTGCACTGGCCCACAGAGCAGCTCAAGTGAACTGGTGAAGTAGTAGGCTGCAGAGCAATGGGTTGCTAAGAGAGAATTGTGTTTCCCTGATGCGGAGCGGCTCCACATTGCGCACACTATTGAATCACTGTGAAATACCACAATTTCACCTATAGGAAGCTGTGGTATTTTCAGGCTGTGTCTCTTTTTAGGGGAATTTTTAGGTAAATAATCTGGATTTAACCTGCCAGTTTTAATATTATAAAATAAAATTTTCACCTTTACTAGGATGGGGTGGGGGTGGGGGTGGAGGAATCACACACTTTGTAGCTTGTGCAGGCTGAGTTTATTACATACACCAGGGGCTCCTTCCATCCCTCTGTTCCCTCCCACAAGCTCTCTTGTGCCACCCTCCTGTCCCCCTCCATTTCAGTGGCTCCCCAAAACCCCCTCAATGTCCTTCCCTCATGACAGGGGTTCTGTGTGCCCCCTATTCCCTTTCCCCCCTTTGTAGGGTGCCCCATTTCCCTTCATGCTTGGGGCTCTGTGTGCCCCTCATATCTTCCCCACATACTCCCTATTCCCCTCCCCCCACCACCATTATTTTAAATTCTGTCTGGGAAAGAAATCATTCAGGGTGTCAACATGTTAAACTCTATTGAGTGGATAAGCAGAGGTGAGATGGTGGTTTTGTTATCTATAAGGATTTCATTGGTGACATCAACCAGTTCTTTGATCTATGGACAATTGCAGAGTTGCTTGAGGTTGTAGCTCTGATAAAGAACTAGCAGGGGCTTCATATGATCCCCATTCTCTCTGTGACACTGTACCCCATATTCTTCATAATGATATTATTATGATATGATTGTAGCATAATTATCATGTATTTTATGCAAGATAAGTCATGTGAGGTGTCATTGGAAAAGTTATGATTTTTCTGAATATGATTATCCTATTTGTATGCATGTATCATTTTGTATCTGAAGTTATGAATATTGCCTATGTATCTGTATTTCAAATGTAGTTACACCTGGATAACGCCCACTAGACAAGATACTTTCAGTCTAGATAAGGGCAGTGGGCCATTAGGAAAAAAATAGGTCTCAGGAAAAGCTTCTCTCTCATTTGGGGAGCCTTCCTGAGAACACTACAGACAAGTAATGGCTGCTATGACTCTACAAAGACATGTGATGAGACCATGTGTCTCTAGACTCCATCTTGGGATGCCAGTATTTTTCCACAGACTGGTTTGGGAACCAAGCTTTGGGAACAAATGGTTCCTGCCATATTCAAATGCTATATAAGGCAGGGAGTGACATCATCTGGTGTCCTTCATTCCCCATCCAAGAAGACTCATGGAAACACCTGAGGAACAAAGACTGAAATTGAGGAAATGATGGACCCATGCTAAAGTGATTTTTAGCCCGTGAATGAAACACCTGGGGATTCCAAGCTCTAAAGCAAGTGCAGTTTGCCCCTTAAGAATCTGCAAACTGCTTGTATCATCTCTTAGGGTGTGAATCTGCTATTCATATCCAATCTATTTAGTATATTAAGCTTAGTTTGCAGTTTTTGTTTATTTGCTAGGTAATCTGCTTTGATCTGTTTGCTATCACTTATAATTGCTTCAAATCTATCTTTTGTAGTTAATAAAGTTGTTTTTGCTTTATCTAAACCACATTGAGAGAGGGAATGAATTTTATGAGCTTACACCAGGGATCGGCAATCAAAGGTTGCCGATCCCTGGCTTACACTGTACAGTTCCCTGTGCAGCACAAGACGGTCTAATTCTGGGTTTATACTCTAAAGGGGGTGCATGCCTGAGGAGCTGGCAGTAGCCTTCCCATGCAGGGGCTGGTCAGAGCCTGCTTGTAACTGCAGCTGGGTGTGTCTCTACCTGTATGTATCCCAGTGAAAGTGCAGGCTGGAGGGCTCTGCAGCTTGTCACAGCAATACTGTCCAATGCAGTGTGAGGGGGAGCCCAGGCTGATGGGTCGGGGAGCTCAGTGGTACCTCAGCTGCAGGTGGCACTCTGGGGGGAACCCACCACACTCCCCCCTTTGTTTTTTTTTCAATTTACCAAATACATAGGTGTGATGGGTTGAACCCCCTGGGATGTCACCTGGTGTGCTGGGACACAACTGAGACAGACTATTCTGCCAGCCTGGGCCCCCTTTTACTTGGTCTCACTGGGCTAGGCTCCCCACCTCCAGCTGCACAGAGAGACAGAGATCCGCTCTGAGAAGGCTCAGCTTAAGGGGCTTGTTACAGCACCCAGATGTCCACTCCCCTCCCTTGGAGTACAAACCCAAAATTATATGAAATTTGCCTCTTCCCTCAATGTGGAGGAGGGTATGCACAACTTCTCCCTCCCTCCCCCGCCAGTTAGAAATCACATAAACTGGATTATATTGTAAATCAGAAATAAATGTATAACAGGTGTATTTTAGGTAGTTAAGGTGGTAGCAGACAGAACAAGACAGATCACTAAGAAAATAAAACAGAGCTTGCAAACTAAGCTTAGTACATTAAAAAAACTGGTTAGATATACGTTCTCACCCTAAATGTGGTTCTAATAATCTTCTTCACAGGCCAGATGCTCTTCCAGCCTGGGTCCAGTTCTTTCCTCCAGTTCAGTCTTAGTTGTTTCCAGCAGTCATCTTGGGGTGGGTAGCAGGTGAGAATGATAACCAAGACTACCTCACTCCCGACCCCCTCTCCCCCCCAGCTTCTAGTGGAAAAGTACAGAATTCAAGCTCTTTTACAGTGCATTCTCTCTTGCTGATGGGACATCAGCACTGTTGGGCTTTTTCCTTGTTTTACCTGAAGTGTTAGCAGTCACCCAAAGTACCATAGTTTAAATATAGATACATAGTCAATATTCCTAATTTCAGATATAGAAATGATACATGCATACAAATAGGATAATCAGATTCAATAAATTATAATTTTTCCAATGAAACCTTACAAGAGTTATCTTGAATAAAGCATATCTTAGATATGTCATATTCCTACCACAAGCATATTTTCATAAAGAATATGGAGTAGAATGTCACAATAGGGTTCTGGCCATTAATGCCTAGGACACTTCCTGAAATACTGCATTCAAAAGTTATTGCATTACAGACAGACAAATGCTGTTGAGTTGAAGGTAAAGCCTTCTTAGTGAGAAACCCCAGACTGTCTGACCATTTTCAGACAGAACTTCAGAAACAGCTAATCATCCAACCTCAAAAGAGTAGGCTTTATGAACAGTTAGTAGTTGAGAACTAAGTGGTAAATGAATACATAGCTAAACATAGCAACAAGCTACAGAACATTTTCTGCTTTGTCATACTAATAGATCGTATGAAACCTTCATTGACCATTGTAGCGAGGTGGTCACCCGCTCTGGTCCTGAAGGGCTTAAAACAGCCCTTGGTGAGGGGTAGGGGAAACCTGGGCTGATTGGGGAAGTACCCACAGCTGGGCCATGCCCCAATCAGGCCGCAGCTGGCCCTATAAATGGGCTGCTAGGCTAGATCCCAGGCAGAGTCTCTCTCTGCCTTCAGAGAGAGTGGGGCCTGGTTGCTGGGAAGCTTAGGGGTCCTAAAGTGAATCAGGGCTGGGGAAAGGCCAGAGGAGCCTGCAGGGCCTTGTCCAAGGCCCCATGGAGGCACTGGGTTGCAGAGAGAGGCAGCAGGTCCAGTCCCATCCTTGCCTATGATGAGCGGCTGATACTGCAGTCTGCCCCAGGGTGTGGGGGCTAGTTGGTGACTGGCAGCAGCCTATGACTGAGGTGGGGATAGAGGGTGGGGCTTCCCTGGGGAGGGGGAGACCCTGAGACTGAGGGATGTACAGCCAGGGGGTAGCACCCCAGATAACAGGGCACCAGGTCTGGGAGGGACATGGGGGCCAACTGGCAGCGGGACATCGGCCTGCAGAGGGTGCTCTGGACGCTGGATGAGCTAATTCCCAGAGACAGCCAGCAGGAGGTGCCGCAGCAGTGAGTCCCACATGCTTACAACCATTATAATACTTCTGTTTCTCAGACCAAGGACATATCTACACTACAGACGTAAGTCGACCTATGTCAGGTTGACTTACAGCCATCGCAGTAATTACTGCACTGGCTGATGTCCACATTATTTTCCTTCTGTCAGCACGTCCTTATCAACTGAAGAGGGACGGTGAAGTGGTGAGCTGAGAGCCAGGGCCTAACTGTGTAGTGTAGACCAGGCAAAAGATACTATAGAACCTGATGGACGCAAACTAAGAAGTCAGCAGTGAAATCAGGTTTATGTTGAGTTTAAACAGATTATTCAATAATTACTTATGGTGATTAAAGTAAGATCACAGTCAGCTAATCCAGGATTATGTAAACTTTTGAAAGATGTAAATCAGAAGTTTCTTACTATAAAAACAAAGTGGCACATCATGTCCTACACTTTTTTCCATATACTGTTTGAGAATGAATAACATCACAGTTAGATTTCTAAAAATATTGTTTTATCTCCAGTTTTTGTTTAAATAACCCTGATGCTGTTGTTTTTCAAGGCAATCTACTTAAAATTCAGTAGGTGGTGCTCTTCTGTCTGACTGAGTTCAGGACCGATGACACAATTCAAGGTGATCTATTCTTCATTTTCTGTCACATATTCTTGCAGAGTGTTGCTGGGTGTTTCACTCAAGTGGTGGCTGTATTTTAGTCGTGGGTGTAATGTATGTGTAAATATATTAAGCGTTTTCGAATGAAAGATGTTTTATAAGATAGAATTCATTCTTAAATGTTTTAAATGTTTGTTATCTATTTAATTAGATTGCATACAGTAGGTTAAACATGGTTTGGGTCATTTCACTCATTATTTTATTGTATAATGACAACTTTGCTATAACATAAAGGTAGGATTTTAACTAATCAAATCCCCTATGGTTAGCTGTCTGCTGCATTTCCTCCTGTTGATTCATTGGTAGATTTCAGAGGCTATGGGCATTTAGCTTTAAATACACAAAAGAATACAAATATTCTATATTCTGGAGTCTCAAACCAAACTCATTTGAAGTTGGAGACGTCGGTAGGTCTTTTACGTAAAGCAAATTAATGTTAATGCACTAAATTCATTCAGGGAAAACATTAAGGATTGCTTTTGCAATGCAATGCAGCAAATATTTTGAAGTCAAAGTAAGCCTCTTAACTCCACTTCTTTTGTGAGGAATAAAATCTCTTTCCTTCAGTGATTTATTCTAGCAAAATGTGCTATGCAGACTCACATCAGGCTGTTTTGTTATTTCTAACAGCAGTTAAGAGAGTGGTTACCTATTCACAAGCATAAATAAATAAAGATCCAGACAAGTTTAAGATATTTATGTGAGTACTTCTGGTTACGTGGTTAATCAATTAAAGATTGATCTGCCTTCTCTCTTTTTAAAGAAACCTATAAATTCTGTTTTTCCCTTACGGTTCACAAACAATTCCCATTGATGATGAGGGGTTGGTTGGTGTAACATTTTTATTTTAAAGATAAAGAACATTTCCAGCTGCCCCAAAAGCTAATTTATGACAGCCAGTAGATGTCATTCTATCTCTATTTTAATGCAAGTTCCCACTGTTCTGATGTTATCTTTCCTAACAACATGTTGGGGGAAGGGAGAGAGGGGGAATCTTTTACGTTTTGCTTTCTTCTGATCAATGCACCAGCTTATAGTTTTCTCATCAGTAATGTGAGGTGTCAGAATGTGAAATTGGAACTTTTTGATACAACCAACAGCTGATAAGCTATTGTCTTTCAGTCACTCGCCCATTAGCGTTGTTTGATTTATTTATTTAATTCCTGCAGTAAAACTTTGCCAGCTTTGATGCTGTGGTAGGCTTTCTTTCTGTCATTTGTCTTTATGTGCAGTTTTGATTGAAGCTGCTCCAACAACTCTATTCCCCAACTCCTCAGCATGGTGTTGAGGCCAGCAGTAAGGAGGAATTCTAAGACCATGTGCTACTAAACTTTGCTGGCATGATTCCACTGAACAACACCACGGATCAGCCTGGCACACTAGAAGAGACAGATTTCACTTGACACTTGTTTCCTGAGGGAAGCCTCATGTTATTGGCCAGAACCAAGAGTAGCAAACCTCACAAACAAATACAGAATTAGGGTCAGATATTCCACTGATAATAAATTGGTGCAACTCCATTTATACTAACATAGCTGTACTGATTTACACTATCTAAGTATCTGTCTCTTAGTCTTTCCCAATGGACAGTGGCCACCTTGTCAGTCTCAGCAGTCTGGTGAAGAACTGTAAATATAGATTGAACTACATGTGTCCCTTACAACAGGGTTAAGACCTATTTTGGGACAGTGCGGGAAAGCCAATTGACCATATTGTACCTGCTCCATGCATGACTAGAGGACTTGAGGTTTCCAGGGCTGTCAATCTGAAAACTACATTCTCATTCTTTCTTCAGGATGACACAATTTTACCTGCTGCTGCTCTAGGAGCTCAGGAGGTGTACAGTTTTCACCAGCCATTATACTGAGGCAGAATGCTCCGCACTGTGCTGTGGCCCTGCTCTGGTCCCAAAGCAAAGGAATCCAGGGTGGTGGGGGAAGCAGTGCAGAATCTAGCCCTAGATGTGCCACAAGCAAAAATATCCATTTCCCCCAAGAAGCAATAACCAGGCACAGGAACCTCTCCGGTGAACCAGATGATGTACTTTTAATTGGGTTCACGAAAGAGGGTTATTACTGAGGGGAGGATAAAAAAAGCTGTAAAAGTCACAGAAATACTTCTTGTATTGAGCTTTATCTCACATCCTCGCCACCTTGCACATCATGATCTCTTCAAACCAGACATGCCAAACCCGTGGAAAAAAAAATGCAGAAATTGGGCTTGTTTTTGGCTTGAGTTGCTTGTTTGGCTTGTAGTTTGTAATTTGTTGCTGCTTTTTTTTTTTTTATTCGGCTCCCAGAAAGCAGGGGCAAGGGGGGAGAGTCGGGGGTGCAAAGCGGGCCCACCACAGTCCCAGACTGCTCACGGGGGGGGATCTAGGCACATAGTGTTGGGGTTCTTAGGGATTGGGTTGTTTGGGCCCCATTTTGAAATGGGATTAGCTTGATTTTTGGCTTATTGTAAAAGCCAGAGTGCTTATTTACTGCATGAAAGTTGGCAACTGTGCTTCAAACCCAGATCATTAGCTCAAATAGCACTCTCAATATCTAGACTGGGGTCCTATTAATGAAAAATTCAATTAATATGCTGGGAGTCATTAGAGGGTAATCAGGTAGGTGATGTTGGCTTTAATTCCTCTTCTGCTAGTTCAGAAGGAATCTGACACTCTGAACATAAAAAAATCCAAGAAACAGGTGTAAGGAAATCACTGATCGGGAGTCTGAAGATTCCCATGTAACAGGAGAAACTAAACCAAAATATGGTATTGGTCCACCCTAGAGATATTAGTAGCAAACTAATAATCTGCTTCTTTCGGGAAGAGTTTAACAAAGCAGAAAGCATATCTCCCCTAGATATTATAGACTTATAGACCCTTCTCCCATTATTGTGAAATATACCCTAACTAAGCTTAAGCTAACTCAAGACTGAATGCTATTAGTAACAGAGATGATACCTGTTTTGTTTACAATGCCCATGCACCTTTATGATACTGTATAGATCAGCATTCTTATTAATGATAATAATAAAAATAGAAGCATTATGGTATTACCCAATATAGTATTTTCAGCTGCATATGGTGGTAAGGCAGGAAAACATTCACAATATGTTAGTAGGGAAGCAGATCTAACTGCCTTGTGGAGTAGGGAAACTTTGCATCTTTGGTTTGGAAACTGGAATGCACTCATCCATTGGGCAATTTTCTTGACATGGATAATGCTGAGAGACTGGAACAGTATAACTGATTCCTTTCACACTAAGCTCAGCCAGACACACTCTTTTCTGGGCTCTCTGTGGTGCCCTGGTTGATTGGAAAGAGGGAAACAAGACTTTAGGTGTCAGAGATAAGCACATGAACATCTTCTCGCCCCTTTTCTCCTTGAGCCTTTCTCCTTATTCATCTGAATCGAATTTCTACTGCCCTCCACTGCTATAGAACCTTTGTGCCTCAGCTTTCTATCAATCAGACAGTTCCCCAAACTCTCCAGGTAACACAGAACCTTTGGTTCCCAGCGATCTGACATTTCCCTAGAGACCTTCCTTCTCTTTAGGATTCCTCAGCTGCTGTTTTAACCAGATCTGAACTTCATTTGTGAGCTTTTGTTGCAAACCCTGCATGAGTTGTGAGCTGGGCACTGATCCTTTTGGAGCATTGCATTTTCCCTGAATTAGCAGGGGAATGAATTAAATTAGTCTTTTCCATTTGTAATTTCTATTACTCTAATCCAGATTTTCCTGTCCTTTCTTTTCTATGGCACCATTCTCCTGTCCATTGTCAAACAGTGCCTGCAAGGAAATTAATTCAGTGAAAATTAACTCACAATGGGTAATGCTCCAGGTTGAGTCATACAGAGCTGTCACTTTCTCTGGTAGGAAATTGTATTTTCCTTTTTCCTTTTTTTTTCTCTTTTGCCATAATCTGAAAAAAGGTACAGAAATATAAGGTTTCACCTATGTGTAAAAGAAATAATATTGAATAACTGAAGTGCTCCTAACTGCATAGCTTAGAAACAGAAAGGAAGAAAGAATAGCAAATCTATACCCATCAAGAGATACAGCAAGGAAAAGAGAATGGAAGGTATTGCTGCTCTGTCATTCTTATGGGTGCGCCTGAGCAAAATGTCTGTCTACTGATGAGCAGCAGTCTTGGTGCTGTTTACATAGCTGAGAAAATCAGTTATTCAAGCAAGCAAAGTAAACAGCCCACTCAGTTCTCCCTATCTGAAATGAAATAAACAAATAAAGAGGCCAAGTCTGATGGTGATGTTAAAATGAACCGAAGAAGCTAAAGATGCTATGAATAGAGGGAATCAGTGCTCATCAAGTTCTGGACAAATTAAATATATGTTCTACAGCCACAGGGAAGGGCACAGAAAAAAATCAGATACAGATTCTCAGATGAAATAAAAAGTGCTCAAGAAATGGGTGAAGAGGGGTGGAGGTCTGAAGAAATAAAGATTCCGGAGACCACAAGGGAGCACAGAGGGCAAATCTTTGAGGTTCCAGTATAAGCATCTGCATAAATTCTCCCACAGATGTTTTCCCTAATTCCGTATATTCTTCTGGAATTTCTACACACAATACAAAAAAAAAAATCACCAAATCATATTCTACTCCCCAAACTGTGACTCACTTCACTAAAGGGGTCACTTGCCCAGACAGTCTGAATGAGTCTGTCTGATGGTCAGAGAATATCAATGAGGAATGGGAGCTCGCTTTGTGTCTGTGTCAACTTGTGAAAATGTGGAGAAGTCTGCTTTTCAGGAGAATGCTCTATCTTTCTGATCAGCTAATTATGATCAGATTGTACCAAGGCAATTTATGCAGACTTCATACTGGGTCATCATCTGTGACTGGCAAAATTCTCTGTGTTGAATAGGGCTGTTCAGTTGTTGAAGCACAATATATCCTATTGCTGTATAGATACCATCTATAAGAATACTAATGTCATGACTGTGACATGCAAAAGAATGAAAAGTTGCCTTTTCATTAATTCATGATTCCTGTTCTCTTAATCTGTCTGAACCATGTTGTATAACCTAGAATCTGTGTACAAAGTCAGTGAGCGGGGAAAGAAAGAGACGCCATCTTGGCATTTTTACTTTAATCTATCATTGTTGCTAATAATTCACGGAAGAGGCATAAGAAGTCACCTCTTGCTGTAGGAGGAGGCAGGAGATGTTGGAGGCTGCAAAGACTTGATTGTGGTGACAGCAGAATAATCTTCACCAGCCATGAATGCATTGGAAGAATGGATGATTCTTCAGCTGCATGGTCATAATGCAGTGACCTGCCACCACATCTGAAGCCCCCTTTTATAATCTCAAATGCCCTGAACTAACTGGCAGGGGGTCCAACATTAAAGATTTGATCCCCAGAGCCCATGCCTCAGCTAACTCTGAAACAATTCATAGCAAGGGGAAGAAAATGAGACTTCTAACAACATCCTTCTTTAAAGCAAACCATATATGGATATCTTTCACTTTGTTGGGAGAGCCACAGAGATAGAAAAATGCTGTCTTGAGAGCCTGCCAGTTAGTCAGTGAAAGATTCTCACTCACCCGCCCTTTTATTTTTCATTTAGGTTGTGCTGAATTGTATCTGACAGTTTTTCAAATGCCTGCAATATTTTTACCTGGGTGAGTGGGAGTGGTGACAATATTTTTCATTTGGATCAGTTCATTCTATTTAATGTGCTTCCAATCCATAACATGCTTTAACAATGGCATGTGGGTGACTCTGGTTGAGGAAAAATGTACTAGCTTTTTCTTAAATCGTGCTGCTGCTGTGATACATGCTTTCTCTGTATCTAGGTCCCTGGCTAGGATAGTTTATTTAGTCCATTACTGGCCTCTACAGAAATGTTATTTTACTATGGTTTTCATGTTTATCCTTTTCTATGTGTTCAGGAGTGAAACTCCTGTATTGGCTGCAGGTTTACAAGTGGGAGATGGAATCCTCAACTGTGCACAGGTGGGCCCTATACACATTACAAATGTGGGCTGTCTATGGTGAGCTGTATGTTCTGCAGCCCAAAGTTGTATTGTCAGTGAATACAGAACTAACATTTGTTCTTCTATTTCCCTTTTCTCCTATTAGGCTGAAGTTAATTCACACTTTTCACTCTACATTTTGGCTTGAATCACATTTGTTGGTCTACTACTTATTGATTTAATTTCTATCTGCTCAAGAAAGGTTGAGGCAATTCATTGCTTTGTATGGGCCACAAAACTAAAACGGGTCAATCTCTAATTTTTACACCTATTCTGGATCAAATCCATTAGTGTAGCCAATAGAGCTATGCCAATTTATACCATCTGAGAATTTGGACATTTTTCTGATTATTTGTTTTAGGATCAACTTAGACATTTAATATATTGTGGTGACCTCACTTCTTCTTTTTCTAACTTCTTCTTTCCTTTTAATTAAGATCTCTGGTGCTCACACACCTGAGAAGACAAAGGTTTGGGGTCTTTGATTTGGGGAAGCATATGGTAGATAGTGGATTTATATTGAAGAGAGTGTGTGTGTGCGCGTGCGCTATATTACTGTCACTGGAATAGCTATAGTAGAGAAGATGGTAATTTGTGGTGCTGTTGACTGAATTTTGTGAGTGAAATGGGGAACACCAGTAATCAGCCAAGAGCCTTCTACTCTCTGATTAAGCAAAGTTTATTGAATACGCAAGCAAGCAACTAGTAGCAAAGTCCCACAACAGAGCTGACCAGGCACCAGTATGAGTCCTTGGAGTCTGTATCAATGGATCCTGATGGTGGCTTGACAGAGTTTCAGCAGTCTTACAGAGTCAGCAAAGTCCGAAGCTTCTCCTTCCTATCTGTCTCACAAAGTCTGACACTTCTCCTCAGTCTGTATTTTTATACTCTGCTGCGTTGTCTTGGCAACCACACTGTTCACATGCTTTTCTACAGTTCTCTGGAAACTTCTCTCACTTGTTTACTACATTCTTCCTTTGGCTGGTTCTAACCAGTCTCAGAAAATTTTACTATGACTTTCTGTAACCTAGCAGGCCCTGGGCAACTTAGAGTTAGGTTAACCCCTTTTAATCTACAACAGTGCCACACAACAACAACAATGTTTTTTCCACATCACAATTTATTTCAGGGGCTAACCATTTGTTCCCATCCCCTTTGCTATCCACTTTTCGTGATCTCCTTTGAGGATGATTTCAGTCATGCTCTGGGAATAGGTCAGCATAAGACTCGTTTTAAACTTCCCTGAGACTTCCAATACACAACCTTTGACACAACTTACCAATACCCAAAAAGTCAGCAGACTTATGTTTGTTTCCATCCCCATATTTCCCATGCCGTTTTGTGCTTTGCCATGGATACTTCAAGAAGACATAAGAGTTTTTCCCTCTTACACAGTTCATTTTTTAGCTATGAGGATCCACAAGAATTATAAATTCCTCTAGCAAAAAAAAGTGACCTACCTGATAAATAATATCATTATTTTAGGTATAACTTTAGTGATGTGAAACCGAATAATCTTTGAAAATGCTCTACTCTGGTTGTAAAAGATATATGAAAACATCAGTCTGAACCCTCTATTTTTGTCCATTTCTGAAATAATTTTAAAGCTCAGTTGCCTGCTATGATTATAATTATATTGTACAAGGTTTATCCTTATAATGTCAACTGCAATAAATTGAGTTTGTTTTGCCTATTTCTTTTACAATAAAAATATTTATGTAATGTTTAATAGATATGGTGAATACAACAGACACTGATCACCTTACCTATTAAGTGATCAGAATCTGTTCTTTCGGTCAGTACTGAACCAGTGTCCAAGCATTGTGTTAAAAGGCACTGTGTTTTGGGGGGAACTATTTGTAGCATGAGGGCTAAAGTTTCAAACTGTCTGGAGACTAGGGTCTGATTCTCTAGTGGGTGTAAAATACTACCATTCAGAGCCAGTAGTGTTTTACACCCACTTTGCACTGGTGTAATTGACAACATGAGATGCAGGGTAATGAATCCCCTAATTTACTTGTGCGATTGTAATAATTATGCAAGCCTCTAAGTAAATAGCACTAGCAAATTGGCCAGTATATGCTGTGATTTTTTTTTCTTTTTTCTTTTTTCAAGAGTAAAGGTATTAGTGCTGATGTCTAGGCTTAATTCCAGTTGACGTTATTACTTTCTGCTTCTTTAAATTCCTCCTGTACTTTCAGTTGGATACAGTATTCATCTTTATCTCCTGTCCTAAACTATTGTGTAGTGCTGCTGGGCACTGTTAAACATCTGCCTCAGAGGGGTCTGCATTTCAATGGTGTTGATTTCTATACATAGCTTGAAACGCGTAACACAGATTATTATTCACCACATGTGTTCAGTTTTCTTAAACTTCACTAAAGCACTTTAAACCCCCAACTTTGCCACTCTCCCTGCATGATGTCTTTACTGCAGAGCTATCTCATGGGACTCTTCCTGCAGTGATGTAACTTATCTGAAAAAAAAAACCTAATGTTCAGCACTAGGTGTGACAGAAGGCTATATGTGAACAGACAACTTTTTAATCTCCCTGTAATGGGGAATTACAAGCTTTCTATATAGAATGACTTCCTGAGTAAGGTCTGGAAGGAAAAAAGTTCAGATGTGCCTCTAAAACATATACTGGAAATAATAATGGGGTCCAGAAGAATGGGGAAAAAAGAGGTGGACTTCGGAGATAGATCTCCAAAGTCCACTCTCTCTCTATATATATATATATGAATGAGAGAGAGTTCAGGAGACAAAAGGAGAATGTTCTACCCAGAACAACCCACTATGAATTGGAATGGGGGAAAGATCCTAACAAAAGGTGAAGATGGTGGGAGTGATTCTCTCCTATGGAATAGGCCCTTTTACACTATTACAGCAGTGTAAAAACTCCGTTCAAGTCCTGGATCTGGACAGA